GGAAAGAATTTTTACGGAAAATTAATTCACGATCGGAGACGTATTTACAGTAGGTTTCTGTGACTTGTTGGCGACAAATATCAATAACAAATAGCACACAGTTCACTTATTTTAAAATAATATATACCAAAACAAGTCATACTTGTATATAAATGTTCGTTACACAGTTGGTTAGCAAAGTTTTATCCAGGGCTTTAAATAATTGTCTTCTAAAATGTTTCGTCAAAGTCCACACAGGTTGGTTCAGTTACTTAGAACAAAATTAACAAGCCTAATTATTCTTCTCTACACTGTTATTACAATAAAACCTGTGATAATTTTACTTCAAAAACGCCATTGTACACTCTTTATGGCTAAACTCATAATCACTCAGTCTAGATCTATATATACTTTCGAACTAAATTTTTGACGTGTATATATACCGCAACAGAAACCTAGGATGTTCCACAACTACAAGATATTATGATGCAGTAATAATTAATTAAAAACAACTAAAAACTTAGAAGGTTCTAGTATCATAATGCAATAATATAAAAATTGTCATTCGGACAACAAGGGAACATTTATTCTTTCAAGGTTGAAAAGTACAATTTTAAACTCACCCTTTACTTTTTTAGAAAATTATTAACCCCTCCTCTTACAATCTTTGGATTAATATCCACATGATTCTTGTCATTTTTCAATATTTGCGATAGAATGCTCAGAGTCACAAATATTTTTATTGTAAAAACAAAATATAATATTTAAAAGCTCAGCCATATCATAGTGTTCAACAAGAAAAACTTTGCAATCAGTGTTCTTTAAGAACTCAATTCCAATTTTAAAATTTTGATTACCCTTAACATATTCAAAAATTCCTTGCTGTTAGTTTTAACATTATTAGTCAGGTATTTTTCATAAGCCATTTTGGAATTCCTGCGTTTTAACTAAATCCGAAACATTCCCATAGTTATGTGAAACTTCCATTTTATCTTTAAATTTAAACTTCATAGTGGAAACCTGACATTTTAGACGAATTTAGAAATAAAATGGATAATTTTCTGAAAAAATAAATCTTGGGTTCTTGCTGGCCTGCTATACTGGCAAAGGCATCTCATCCCATAAGTCTATCATCCTGTTGCAAAAACAAAACTGTCTTAATTGTAGCCTTTCCAAATTTTGCACTGATTCTCTTTGTGCTGTATTTTATAAGCATTTATTATGCCGATCTATCAGACATAATTTTTTAATATTAAGTAAGATCACCTCTCATCCTTATTTCTTCAAGATAAAATACTTTTAGAGACATGAACCTTCTGTCCTTAAAATAATCTTGGTGACTCTATTTCAAAACTGCCCCCATTGGCACAGTGGTATGTCTGTGGACTTACAAGGCTAGAATTCGGGTTACGATACCCGTGGTAGGAAGAGCACAGATAGCCCATTGTGTAGCTTTGTGCTTAATTACAAACAAACAAACTATTCCAAAACTTCTCTAATAAATCAATATCCTTTTATGGTATTCTTGTGTTTAATTTATTTCTGCAAAAAGTATTAAGCAGTTCCACTTTATAACGAAAGTAGCCCCCAATGGCACAGCGGTATGTCTGCGGACTTACGTCGCTAGAAGCCGGGTTTCGATACCCATGGTGGGCAGAGCACAGATAGCCCTTTGTGTACTTTTTGCATAACTACAAACAAACACTATAACGAAAGTAATAGACAGGATAAATCACTATGTGATATTGAATTTAACTCAAATGTTTAAATTTAAACTAAGAAATAAAGAGACTTAACATCATGTATAATACAAAATGAGAACAATATTGTTACGACAGCTGAAGTTACGTGACGCTGGTAACACGTCATGAGATTCTCGAAGGATCGTGACTTTTCTTTGCAACTCTAGTCTTTTCTAGGCGCCCTCTATTTTAGTATATAAGCCCGGCAAATGATTGTAGATATACAGACAGATAATTGAGTCAAGCGAGCGAGCGGTAGTGACCATAAGTAAAGTACGTGAATCATTGTGAATTATAGCGTGTGTTTAACTTAAAGTGACTGTAGAAATTCAGTGTATTGCAAAGTTGTATTGAGAAAGAATAAACTAGTTTTATTTAAGAAAGGACTTGTATCGCTGAAGTTCCTCGGGAAGAATTTATACCGGAAATTAACAAACGACCAGATATGCAACAATATTCATTTATATCAAGGACACAAAACAGTGAGCATGATTGGATACTTAACGATCATCTTTCACTGGACTTATAATTTGATCAACAGATTTTATTTACTCAAGATATCCCCTTATCATCCAACTCACTTAACATCGCGTGTAGACTGTTTAAATCTAATGTTTCTTTATTAATGAAAAACGTTGTATTTACTTATAACAATTAGCACTAACAATGAGGTTGGTCATTCTTATTCAACATTAGGGGAGGATTTAACCTCGAGATATTATCTGACCTACCAGTGAAGGACATTGCTGTCATCTAAATGCTAGCACAGTGTGAAGCATTACAGCAATATATCCGTAGACAGGGCAGATATTGTTTTGAGAGAACACCAAAAGAACAAAGGCAGCTAGAGCAAAGTCAACTTAACAGCCTTCTGGATCACTTACTCTGCTAAATTAAAATAAGAAGGTAGAAAAGATATGATATATCTGCATACCACACTTTTCCTTCTCCATCTGTTTCAGGTTTGTCTTCAAGCCAACATTTAAACATATCTTTAAAACCAATTAACATGGTTAAGAAGTAAGTTAACCTATATTCGCTCCTATGTTTACAAATCTGATACTTAAACAATGAACTAGAACGAAAAATCAAGACCTTTAATTAACAATGATAACATAGTACATAACACATATCAAGAAAAAACCCTTCAACATTGAAATCCATATTATAAAAGAAAAGAAATAAAAAAGCATAATGTACATGTTAATTTGTCGTTTATTTTTATTTTCTCTGTTTTC